TTAAGAAGTTATTTTTACTACAACGTACGTATTTTGTCGGAAAAAGTGGAGTTTGGGAGTCGGCCCAGTCTCTAATTCAATTAATCCCATATGTTCTGTTATTTCGTTTACGGTACGCGTTTTTCGTTTTACGAGGACCTCCACGGGTTCAATTGACCACGTAAATTACCTTCCATAAGAATATTCAATTCGGTTAACGAACAAAAATTTGGTTAACAAAATTCTTACGAAAACATGCCAACATGTTTTCGCTTGCTCACCAGATGGTAGATTAGTCCGCCAATACAGTAATCAGTTCTAGGGCTTAAATTCGTTCCCATTTGAGTAAATATCAAGAAAGTTGTGCTATTAAATATTTTTTCAACTTTATATTAAAATTATTAGTCATTTTAACACTTATTTAACATAATTGCAGGACAGGGAACTAGTTTTTGGTGCGCCCATCAGCCACTTCACTCACCCACCAAGGTGTCAGTTTGTGTCTGTTCAGTGGAGGTAACATCTTGCTTGTGGCTCTCTTGAACATAAACTATTTTTACATTTTTACAGTACAATTATTGGTCATTATGAAATTTATTTAACATATTGACAATATACAGTGCAGTGTTGATTTAAAGAAAATAATCTTGAATTACACCAAGTGAACTTAAAATTTTATTGGTGAAATGACGGCATCAATCATGGGGTGATTTCTCTTCCATACCCACTTCCTTCTCTTCTCCCTTCTCCTCCTCCACCTCCCACTTCAAATTGACATCAGCATCATCAACCAGGACCCTTCTACATACACACCTCAAAGTAAGTGTACTTTACTGCATTTTTTTTTTTACTTTGTATGTAATTTTTGGTGACCTGGAACCAATTACCCAAAATCCCATTGAAACAATGGTTTCGGTTAACGAAATTTTCGGTTCACGAACAATCCTCTGGAACGAATTGAGTTCGTTAACCGAGGGACCACTGTGTGTGTGTGTGTGTGTGTATGTGTGTGTGTGTGTATATACAGTATATATATATATATATATATATATATATATATATATATATATATATATATATATATATATATATATATATATATATATATATATATATATATATATATATATATATATATATATATATACTCACCTGACCTGACTATTCACGTCACCCCCTTCTCTTAAGCTCCTCTACGTGTGTGTTGGTGTGGGGATTAGTGGAAGACATCATTATGACCTGACCTCATGTTTAATAAGGTCACCCTGTATATTTAACCCTTTAGGTGCGTAATTAAATTTCGCGCCGGTTCCTGAAAAGTGTCAATTATCCTGCCAAAAATGAATTTCATATAATCACATTTTCTATATGTTTTTCCTAGAGAACTTTTAGTATATTTTCCAAATCTGGAACAAAAATTCACATATGTGTGCAAATTTTAGAGAAAAAATGACATTTATACCCAAAAATGCAGGAAATTGGTATAAATCAATGTCTGGTATATAGCAAATAAATTTAATCAATTTGGTTACTAAACAGCAAATTTAGATATGTATTACATATTCAGATAATATCAAACAAAATAGTACAAAAATAAGCTATATTGCATTCAGGAAATACTCCTATACCTCAATACATAATATGTCCGCATGTCGTCTCATTTGGGGAAGTTTTTTCAAGGCCGTGGGATATCCCCGCTTGTCGCATTTAATTAATATAATATTTTGGGCGGGTTTACCCGCATGTCGCATCCAAAGGGTTAATGTAGTCAGCTGAATGCACACGGGGCCCCCATAATTTTCTTATTATACATGAAGACTACATTAACTGGAAACGTTTCGGTATAGAAAATCCGGACATCATTTTGAAAAAAATAAATAAAAAATTGGTCACAACTGCGGCGGTCATAAGTCCCGACGGTCGTAAGGTCAGAGCAGGTCGTAAGTACCGATGGACGTAAGTCCAAGCAGTCGTAAGTCGGGGATATATATTATATATATATATATATATATATATATATATATATATATATATATATATATATATATATATATATATATATACTGTATATATATATGGGTACGAACTGTCTCGTAAATTGGGTACGAGATAACCTTGTAATTGGGTACGACTTGACATGTTCTGATGGGTACGATTTGCTTGGGTACGAGTTGTCCAGCACCCCAACATTCCTACCCGAAATCTATTATCAAATTCGAAAAATACGTTTAATTTTAAGATAATTTTGGTCTATTACATTACCATCATAAACGCACAATAACAGATAGCACATGTCAAATCTTTCTCTATTTAATTCCATTAATCTTCCCTTCATAAATCGTGATGCGCATGCATTCCCGTACACGTCACGAGGCCAATCAAAAGTGTTCTTTTTTGGCCACCAATTAAAATGAATTGTGGTTTCTGCTTTTAGAATTTGCAGTATTTTTTGCCCAATCAGATTCGAGTGTGATTTTGGGTCTGTTTTGCTTCAAAATTCAAATTCATTTCCGACCATGAAAGTCTGCAATGGGTGTCACTTCAATTATATGAAGTTAATTGAGCTTTTTGGGGGAAAAAAAGAACAAGCTATAGCATTTTTTAGAACTCATAGTGTTCTCCCGACCTCAGTAAAGTATCCTTATTGTACCGTAATTGTTCAGATTCTAATTCGGAATAACGTTAGAAATAGCAGTGATTCCCTCATATAGTGAGAGTTTGGTAACGTAAAACCACCGTAGAAGTTAAGTTAGGGTAGGTCATCCAAAAAAAAAAGTTAGGTGTACCTGTATATGTTTCTCGAGTGTTTTTGTTGTGTTTTGTCTTCACTTGGCCATGTCGGAAAATGCTTGTTTCTCTCCCCCACCCAAAACCCTGGTTCCTAATAGGATCCCTTATCTTTCTGAGGGTAGAATGGGGCGATAACTAAAAAAACAGGCAACTTCCGACAGAAATCAGGGTCAGAACCAATCAAAACACAAAAAAAACACTAAAAAACATAGTTTTTACTTTCTACCAGAGTTGTGTGAACTAGTATAAATTTACCATTGAATTTTTTTGTTTTTACTTTTGGACATAATGCCCCCGAAAGTTATAAACTACTGAATCATATAGATCTCGCTATTTTAATTTCATTGACCAGTTTCACAATGGTCGTGGTGGAGGTTGGTTGTCGTTTGTGCTCCTACGATTATTTTAAGTTTATTTCCGAGTTTTACAAGAAAGACGATTATTCTATCCAATTCTTAATTATCCCTGGTCCTTCCACTTCTAACTAAGGTATTGCACTTTCGAACATGGTGCACCCCAAAGATTTTAACTACTGAAACATTTAGGTTAGTTTAAGTTAGGCCTACCGGGGGTCTGCCCCCAGCTAGGGGACAGGTTAGGCCTGCCGGGGGTCCGGGGGAGGAGCCCCTGTTCTAGGAGTTAGGTTAGGTTTTGTTAAGTCAGATGAGTCGTTTTCGTTTTCTCCCCCACCCAAAAACTGCGATTTCCCAGGCTTTCCCCATTATTGTTGGGGGGGCAAAACTAGCAATTTCCGCCAAATACACTGGAAAAACATAATGGCCAACCCCTAGGGACTCAAGTCCTAAAGTAAAAATTTAATAAAAAAAATGCTAATTTGCACAACAAATGAAGGTCAGGTTTGAGTAACAAACCATAATATATATATATATATATATATATATATATATATATATATATATATATATATATATATATATATATATATATATATATATATATATATATATATATATATATAAAGCTGATAACCACAAGGAAAGAAGAAAACATGACGTTCCCAAAGCGATTTCGTGTAATTCACATCTTCAGAGAGGTAAAATTTAGTACTGTACTCACCCTGAAGAATCAAACTAACTGGCGCACCTCAACAGTGATTTACTTGCATATATATATATATATATATATATATATATATATATATATATATATATATATATATATATATATATATATATATATATATGCAAGTAAATCACTAGATAGTTGCACAATCCAAGTATATGCTGGAGTATATATATATATATATATATATATATATATATATATATATATATATATATATATATATATATATATATATATATATATATATATATATATATATATATATATATATATATTTTTTTTTTTTTTTTTTTTTTTTTTTTTAATCAAAACCCGAGAACAGCCAATGGACGAATATTTACCGTTGCTTTTCCCCAGAAATAACAAGGCACCTCTATATTCAACCTTGACTGTAAACAATAAAAGCAGTACTACCACCCAACCTTGTTACAAATACTAAACATTCAATACTTTACCATTTTTGTTTTCAATTCTGTTTGTGAAGGATTCCTTATCTTGCTAAAATGCCAAAGTAGTTGTTTTAGGTTACCCTTCAAGGTCTAACAAATGCCAGTAGTAAATATCAGTCTCAATGTCTTCCAAGATTTTCTAGGTAAGAATTGAAAGGCTTTGATTATTAAGAAAGTAGGCCTAAAAGATACTGCTTATATTAAATAACCGTTCAATTTAGCGTATTATTCAACGGCAAAGGTTTTACCAGTTATTCTACAATCAACTAACGCCATGAGCACAAAGACATTATAGTTGTTACTACACCTGTCAATGGGGTAATATCAGATAAACAAATGTGGGTAAACACTAAACTACTAAATAATTTCAACCGATATTCTATTTACGTATTACATTACAAAGCCACACTTGGAATTTATTTCATATTACTGATAAAAATAACACCATCTAAATAAGGGAATTACCCTTTCTTTGTGAGTTAAGTTGGGCATTTTTTTCATGTATCAAGAAAAAGGAACCCCACTCCCATTCCTCCTCACTCAGGTTCCAACACTATACGAGGCCATCACATGTTTCACCTCTTATCTCGCCTCACACCTCACTCCTACCTCTCCCCTCACCTCACACCCTCACAACATCCAATAAGTATCACAAAGTCACTCTTAACACCGTAGTATTAACGTCGTGGAACTTACCTCCATTTCCAGCTGCTATATTTTTGTACTTTTCAGGAGAGATAGTTGTTTACGTGTGAATTCAAGATGGTGGTAATCTGTGGGCGCTGATTGGTCCAGTTCGGTCACGTGGTCTTCATTCACTTGTTCCCTCGAGCGGGCATTATGGGACACAGCTTCACCCTCCCAACATTTACACTACTTTTCATCTCTTTTTAGATTTCCATGACTTGAAGGGCCCCATCACTGAGGTCCCTATGAGTAACTCTCCATCACCTACACGTTACAAGGCAATACTCGTTCTATCTCTGACAGTTTTAACACAGGATCCTCGACACCACAGACCACCTGCTCCGTCTACACTCACTCACTCACACTCCCTCCTGATCTTCTTTTGTCTCAAGATAACACGGTAGGATTCGCATTAAATAACTGAACCAATAAATATTTCTTTAAAATCTAAATAATTTTCCAGAGGTAAAAACCTTTGTTATATATAAACACACACACACACATATGTAAATATATATATATGTATATCTGCAAAAAGGCATTATTTATCTAAATACCGGTGATCTAGCCTCGCCTTCATTTGGTTGTCATGGTTACAGTGTAAACTACATTGGGCCGCCAGAAAGCTTAGGAGGTTCTCTTAAATTTGAAAGCTAACTCTCATTATAATCTTACAAAGAATCTCTCCTTGAAATACAATGGTAAGTAGAATGGTAGGTCATCATGAACTTACTTCATGTCTCACAAGTAATGCGACCGACCGCCCAAGTGGTTAACAAACAGATCATTGGCGAAGGTAAAGTAATACAGTATACAGTATCCGGTAAATAAGTCATTGAGACTTATTTATAGGATTATTACGAATAATATAGAGGTCTTGTTATGCATTTCACTTAAAAGCAGTATTAAGTAGTCTTGAAATTGTATTAGTTTAAATCCAACTCGGTAAATAATCCGTGAGCAAGTGATGTTCATATAGATCTATTTTTAGTTGTTAGTGAGGATATGATAAGCTATAAAGATTAAGCAGGCGGCAGATAGCTCACACATGAACAGAGATAAAAGCCATGTAACTCATTGTTTATCGATTTAATCATCTATTTATCTATCTGTCCGAATCGGAGAGAACATATGCATACTAACACTACATAACTCCAGGTGCTTAATAAACATAGCTCCCACACGCAAGCCAAAACAACGCAGAGCTCAAGCATGCCAACACACTCCATATAACTTCCCCGTACTCCATACACTTCATTATACACAAACTAGCACACACCACATATTAAGCTCATGCCAGCATACACCACATAGTAAGTTCAAACCATGAAGCAGCACATAATAAACTCACACAATCATACACAATATGCATAAAGCTTCCTTCTGATGATAGTCCTATTAAGTTACTTCACCACATGTCCATTGTCAAGACGCACCTAATTGACTCACTCCAATTAATACAAGAAGAAAATGATAGTCGTAAGTCACGTGACAATAGCGGTGTTGGGAGCATCCTTATCTCGTTCCATTTTTTTAATTCTCGTTTACGACAGATACACAGACCTTGGGATTTATAAAGAACTGGGATTGTTTTTTCCTTATTTATTTTATCCTGTGTAGATATGATTTTTTTTTAGCTTTACACTTTTTGTATTTTTTGTATTTTACAATTTACATATATACTGTACATAAATATTACATTTTAACATATTTGTTCGTGAAATAGTTGGAGGACTTTTCTTTTAAAATACACTTATCATCCATTTATTATAATATATCCTGCTTTTAATAAAGGCTATAGTCTCCTTAACATTATAATTTTCCTTCCTGTTTAACCACATTCAGTAAATATAAGATGACATTAGCATGATCATTGTATTTTTATCATTTTTAAACTATTTAATTATCTCTGTTATGGAAACAGAAGTAAAATACATTTAATGGATATTCTACTTCACCACATCTTACACAACTATCATCTTGTTTTATGTTTAAAATTTTTAGTGTCTGATTTGTTGGTAGAGTTTCATGAATATATCAATATATGAAACCTCTCTGGTGAGGATCCATATTTTTACATGTAATATTTTCCCAAATAAAAGGCCATTTAAACAGCGGATACTTTTCTTCAACTGCTAGTTTAGTCCATATCATTAACATTAAGGTGACTAAGGTGTGAGTTTAAGTGAAAGTTATAATGTAGATGACGGTATTGATGTTGGTCTCGTTGTGTAGGCGGAGTGAGGGTTGTAAACTCTTGGAACAATCTACCAGAGAGTGTTGTGACGGCACCGAGTGTGAGCTCTTTCAAGAGAAGACTTGACCAACACTGGAGCGGGTTCAGGTACATTCAGGAGCCGGTGCATGCCCAGTATTTGCCAACAGTGCGTGACAGAGACGTGACCGATCGCCCGGGCGGCTAGCGAGCCGACCTTTTGGTGAAGAATATAAAGGAAAAGAGACGTGACCGATCGCCCAAGCGGCTAACAAGCCGATCAGTGGCGAAGAGGATAAAAGTAAAAGTATGAGTGACCCTCCTTCACCTCAGGGGCAGCATGAGTGACCCTCCTTCACCTCAGGGGCCGCAGGAGTGACCCTCCTTCACCTCAAGGGCCACATGAGTGACCCTCCTTCACCTCAGGGGCCGCATGAGTGACCCTCCATTTCGGGAGCCGCCTGAGTGACCATCCTTCACCTTAGGGGCCGCATGAGTGAACCCCCTTCACCTCAGGGGCCGCATGAGTGACTCTTCTTTATCTCAGGGACCGCATGAGTGACCTTCCTTCATCTCAGGGGCCGCATGAGTGACATCGACCATGTACACTAACCTTGACGCCACGAATAGGTTTTAGATACATTTAATAAAATCGAATATTTCATAATTAATTCTATAAGAAGATAAATTTTTAATAATATTAACAGGTGTCATCCAGTTCAAACATTAAAAACCATAGACACCAGTAATGGTAACAATGCATTGTTCACTTTATGCGACACTCAAGAGACAGATGGAAAGGGAGGGAGGGGGGAGGAAACGGTGTTTAGTAGGAATAAAATTTAAAAACATCAATCGTTTTCTAAAGCACTTAGTCAATGTTGTTTCTAAATTTCATCTTTTTAGTACAATAAGTGTCGGGTATATCGCCCCACGAGCAACAATGCAAACAAACAAAGGTAACGCTTCGCTTGGCACCTGGTGGAAGAGATGTACAAAACAATATTTATTTCAGCTTACCTTACAATACATCATTGGCACCTGCTTCCACGGTCACCGGCAATAGAACACTGCCGCGTTTTTTGAGAATGAAGTCAATGGCGTAGATCATGCAGTGCTGCCAAACTGAAAATATATGACGAGTATACTGCATGCGTCAACCTAATTCTATTAAGGAATTATGTTACGTTAATCAAAACAATCAATGGATATAATCGTAGATGTTGGTGTAGGTGTAAATAATGTAGAAAGTGTTGGTGCAGGTGTAAGTGTTGTAGAAGGTGTTGGTGTAGGTGTAAGTGTTGTAGAAGGTGTTGGTGTAGGTGTAAGTGTTGTAGAAGGTGTTGGTGTAGGTGTAAGTGTTGTAGAAGGTGTTGGTGTAGGTGTAAGTGTTGTAGAAAGTGTTGGTGTAGGTGTAAGTGTTGTAGAAGGTGTTGGTGTAGGTGTAAGTGTTGTAGAAGGTGTTGGTGTAGGTGTAAGTGTTGTAGAAGGTGTTGGTGTAGGTGTAAGTGTTGTAGAAGGTGTTGGTGTAGGTGTAAGTGTTGTAGAAAGTGTTGGTGTAGGTGTAAGTGTTGTAGAAGGTGTTGGTGTAGGTGTAAGTGTTGTAGAAGGTGTTGGTGTAGGTGTAAGTGTTGTAGAAGGTGTTGGTGTAGGTGTAAGTGTTGTATAAAGTGTTGGTGTAGGTGTAAGTGTTGTAGAAGGTGAGGTGTAGGTGTAAGTGTTGTAGAAGGTGTGGTGTAGGTGCAAGTGTTGTAGAAGGTGTTGGTGTAGGTGTAAGTGTTGTAGAAAGTGTTGGTGTAGGTGTAAGTGTTGTAGAAGGTGTTGGTGTAGGTGTAAGTGTTGTAGAAGGTGTTGGTGTAGGTGTAAGTGTTGTATAAAGTGTTGGTGTAGGTGTAAGTGTTGTAGAAGGTGAGGTGTAGGTGTAAGTGTTGTAGAAGGTGTGGTGTAGGTGTAAGTGTTGTAGAAGGTGTTGGTGTAAGTGTTGTAGAAAGTGTTGGTGTAGGTGTAGGAGTTAGTTCACAATATCCCCTATCATCCATGACTGTCACTGAGTACGTACAAAAGATATGACTTAATACCAAACGCAAATCATAATTAGTTTGGATGTATTATTATTATCTATTTCAAAACTGTCTTAGATAATAATTTCAAAACTGTCTTTATTTCTTTCTGTATCTGTATGTGTCTGTGTCTGTGTCTGTGTCTGTATCTGTGTGTCTGTGTCTGTATCTGTGTCTGTGTCTGTATCTGTGTCTGTATCAGTGTCTGTATCTGTGTCTGTATCTGTGTCTGTGTCTGTATCTACGTCTGTATCTGTGTGTCTGTATCTGTATCTATGTCTGTATCTGTGTGTGTCTGTATCTGTCTGTCTCTGTATCTGTGACTAATTTTAACCTAACGAAACAAAACTTGAGCAAGATGGCGACTTACAGAAAACGTAATATGGAGGTGAATCTTTTTACACAATAGTCATTAACTCTTCCCACACCTCCTTATCATTGTTTGTATACCTGCACCGTGTATATAAATTGTTTTATACCTTTACCATCTACGGAAATTATTTGTAGGCTATACCTGTGCTCTCTATGTGCATTGTTTGTTAACCTACATACGACACTTTAGCATCACAATCCGAGACCTTCTATATTTGTGAGGTCAAATGTCAAGGTCACATTAGATATTTTGATATACTTAAATTTCTTCGTCTCCAAAAACAAAAAAATATTAATTTCTATCTTAATTTTCTTAACGAAGCTTTCATTAATTTATTGTGTATTGTGATACAGTTATCCGCTAACTTGTACTGCTCTTCAATTTACGTTCATTAATATAAACTTACCATATGTATACAATCAACATGACTTACAGTATAGCTATGAATAGTTGGCGAGGAATGTTCCCTACACACACACACACACTGTACACCCCTACCTACAGTATATCTTCGACAACTCCCTGTCATCTCGCTTCTTATAAAGTTGTTGGTTACGTATGCCGTCTGCCTCACAGGAAATATAAATAAATGCGCATCAACTACCAGGTTATTTGACTTCCATTTCACGTTTTTTATTATACAGTATACACCCATAATTATATTTCCGGGCAAGTTTTTGGTGAGATTCTTAAAGGGCTTACAGATTTTCTAGGGACTTGGCAGGACAATGTCCAGCCTAAAATCTCGAGTTCGATCCCGGGACAAATATGAAAAAGGTGTTATCCAGTGTGACCCTTCACGACATGGCAGGTTATGTCCAGACACTCCGGTTTCCTGCTTTACTAACAATGGACCTATCAAGGACAAACTTGGCGGGCACAATAGAGGGCGCGGGTTAAACAAGCAACTGGCTTCCCTCCTCGACAACACAGCAAATAAAAAAAATATTTGGAAGCAGTTTTTCCTACAAGGAATTCCTATAAATATCATGTGTTAAGTCTTTTTATGCTTAATTAATTCCTTTAACTAGTTTTTGGCGGACTCTACGGTAGTGCCGCACCTGTCGCTGTGTGTGTGTGTGTGTGTGTGTGTGTGTGTGTGTTTCTTCCGTGTGACCACTACAGTTTCCGTAAACAGCTTCAACTTGGCTGTAAGCTTTTATGACTGCTTCTCTCTGGTCGAAGACCTTGAAACCTGAAACCAATTTGGCATTAAGGCCGTAAATGCCTATATGTTTCCGCTTATGGTACAATATCAGAATGTCTGAAATACTAGGGAAAAACAACAACAAATATTCAAGCAACTTTTGACCTCACAATCTGGGTCAGAGATGAGGGGAACATTTCACGTAATTGATGTGTTGGGTGAGGGTGTAAGATAATGTTCTTAGGTTATCCAGAAAGTATGTCAGGGGGATACTGACGGCTTGACAATTACTTTCATTTGCATAGAATTATGATCTGCCTTGAAGTTAGCGTCATTTCGAGTTCTCATCGTCACTATCATTGAATTTTTTCGGTAGACGTATCCATTGGTATCAGTGTAAGGAACCTAATTATTTTAATTTTTATTTCTTCAATAAACTACGTGTATCATAACAAATGGGAGATGTGATATCTTCTGCAGACACCCAATATACTTTGGCTCCTCCAAATGTATCTCATGTGCCTACTAATGAGGCTCTTCGTAAACTGATCCCTTATACGCAGCATCTTGGCACCAGCGCGCTAAAGGAACGCCTAAGTTGTGGGTAAAGTTTAAGTGCATTCACAGGCCACGTGTCTACTAAAGATTATACAGTATATCTATTCTGTCTCATTTTCTGACGTTGAATTTCATTTACTTTTCTTTCGAGTGTTAAGGTTTATTTGTATCCATTTATATACTGTACATGAAAAAAATGCATGCGAGTGCATTTAGAATAATTTTGTGTTAATGTACTGTTAGAGTCGTGCATATTGTTTAACAAGTTAATACGGAAAGAAAACAGGAACAAATTGCAACGTTTACATAAATACTCGCACGAACACGTCCCCTTTCCTCTGACTTAGCAGCCAGCCAATCAGCGAGTGGTCCTCCCGGTATTGGCCAAGAGATGAGCTCAGCGTGTAATCAATACATCATTTTCCGAAAAAGTCCTCCTCACCAGATCAATACGACGTCTAGGAGGTGGAGAAGGAGGGAGGTGAGGCTCAGGGGTCGACCGATCTAATACTCGAGCATCTGGAGATCTAGGTCATAGTTGTGTTTTAGTCAAGAAATAAACATTATTATTCAACCAGCACTTGACTCTGTCTATGCCTGTGTTCGTGGATAAGAATTATATTATATACCGTACGTGTACACATTTCATGAAGAAGAAAACAAAACTCTTTTAAATTATGTCATGACCCTCATCTTTGTCAACTTGTTAATACAAATCCTAATTGTTTTGATTAACTCTTAGTAACATTGAAATGTCTAGACTGTTACTGACTTTGTAAGATCTAGACAGTTACTGACTGTAAGATCTTAGAATGGTGATGGCCTACCTAAGCTAGTGAGTGGGCCGCATGAGTGGCTCATCTCAGTGGGCCACGGGCGGTCCTACTCATAGCCCCACGAATAAGTATAATACGGATCCACCCCACGAACAATAAGGCTAAATTGCTCCCTTAACAGTGTTGGTAAGCCCTCGGCAATGTATACAGTATATCGGCATAACACCTTCATCCCGTCTGATACGTAAATTGCTTTCTCGCTGAGACACTTCACCAGATGATCTTAATCTCACCCACTTGTCATAAACGGTTCGGTCCTCTTCGCTTATCTTATCTCTCGGGTATGTACAGTATGTTATCGCATAGTAATTCTGTTTTTGTTCTTTTAATTTTTCACTCTGGTTCGGTGAGAGTGAAGGGAACACAGGGTGAGAGAGACAACTTTGAGCCTGACCTGTGTTTCCTTTGCCAAATGAATGCTACTCATCCCTAACTTTGTACTGGCTTCTATCACGACACATGATCGGATACCCACATGATTATCATACTATATGTAGTGGATAAGATATCCTGGTACGTACTGTGCAACCCACATTGTACCATTTATTTAATTTATTCTCATCAACCTAAAACTGGCTTAGGTTCGAGAATAAACTTCCAACTTGACACTATTGAATTTCTGCATTAATTCACGTCGTTGTTGTTGAGGTGTACGCCACAACAATGTAAGCTAAAATAAAGTAGGGATACACCACGTAGCTGTCTTTTCATTAATTTCCCAAACCGACCGTCCGTCCGTCCGTCTGTTCATCCCTCTGTCTAAACCGTCCATCCACCTTGTTCTGTATGCCTGTCTATTTATCCATATTTATTAGCACCAAACTTTAAATGCTTATCACTATAACGAAACATTACTAATAAAATCCATTTATGGGGAATGTATGATGCCTTCTACAGTCTGACCTCCAAGACGTCGATGATGGGTCTCTTTCTCTAGTTACAAATGTTATCTTAATAAATCACTAAACCCACACGGTATACGCTGAAGACAGGTGTTGTTTTGTGTGAACAGTCGCAGGGCAAGGGCGGAGACTCGCAGAAGGGCACCACCATCCGGGAGGCGCTAAGGCAATGGGAGGAGAACACTGGGGAGAAGGCCACCGAGGCTGTTGAGGTGAAACTCATCGGTATATACCCGCCCATAGAGAAGCTGGACAACGCTCTCCAAACCCTCGTTAACTGCGAGTGAGTGACACATGTTGGTCTCTTTCCCTTAGTGAGTGACACATATTGGTCTCTTTCCCTTAGTGTGGTGTTGAGAGAGGCAGTGTGTGTTGTGAGAGGTAATGAGTACTGTACGTCTCATCCCAGGAAGCTGTGTCTGTCTACCAACATGATAGAGAAGTTGAGTCACCTGAATAACCTGCGCTGCCTCAAGATACTCAGCCTTGGCAGAAACAACATTAAGAACTTCGCTGGACTGGTGAGTCAACATGCGTGGGGTGTGAGTGGGAATGTGAGTGGGCCTGTGAGTGGAGTTGTGAGTTGGGGTTGAGTGGGGCTGTGAATTGGCTTGTTAGTGGGGCTGTGCTTAGGACTGTGAGTGGGGCTGTGATTGAGACAGAAAGACTGTGAGTGGGACTGTGAGTGGAGTAGTGACTATGTAAGTAGGCCTGTGAGTCGGAGTGTCTGTGTGCTATGAGTGGGAATGTGAGTGGGGGATGTGAGTTGGACTGTGAGTGGGACTGTGAGTGAGACTGTGAGTGGAGCTGTAAACGGGAACGTGGGTGGGGTTGTGAGTGGGGCTATGAGTGGAGTTGTGAATGAGATTGTTAGTGGGCCTTTGAGTGGGGCTGTGAGTGGAACTGTGAGTAAGACTCAGAGGGACTGTGGGTGATCCGTATACTGTGAGTGGGAGTATCCGTTTACTGTGAGTATGAAATGGAGGTTGCGAGTGGGGCTGTGAACACAGTGAGTGGGATTGAGTGGGGATGAGAGAAGGAAACGGATTACTGATATAATGAATGGTCCAATTAATTACTGGAGTATAGTGAGTGGAGTAATGAGTGGTGATGGTCCTCCCACTCAGCGTGATGGTATAGTCACTATAGTGTGTCAGTGAGTGGTGACGGTCCTCCCACTCACCGTGATGGTGTGGTGTGTCATTGAGTGGTGACGGTCCTCCCACTCAGCGTGATGGTATAGTCACTATAGTGTGTGAGTGAGTGGTTAGGGTCCTCCCACTCAGCGTGATGGTGTGGTGTGTCATTGAGTGGTGACGGTCCTCCCACTCAGCGTGATGGTGTGGTGTGTCAGTGAGTGGTGACGGTCCTCCCACTCAGCGTGATGGTGTGGTGTGTCATTGAGTGGTGACGGTCCTCCCACTCAGCGTGATGGTGTGGTGTGTCAGTGAGTGGTGACGGTCCTCCCACTCAGCGTGATGGTGTGGTGTGTCAGTGAGTGGTGACGGTTCTCCCACTCAGCGTGATGGTGTGGTGTGTCAGTGAGTGGTGACGGTCCTCCCACTCAGCGTGGTGTGGTGTGTCAGTGAGTGGTAACGGTCCTCCCACTCAGCGTGATGGTGTGGTGTGTCAGTGAGTGGTGACGTCCTCCCACTCCAGCGTGATGGTGTGGTGTGTCAGTGAGTGGTGTGTCACGGTCCTCCCACTCAGCGTGATGGTGTGGTGTGTCAGTGAGTGGTAACGGTCCTCCCACTCAGCGTGATGGTGTGGTGTGTCAGTGAGTGGTAACGGTCCTCCCACTCAGCGTGATGGTGTGGTGTGTTAGTGAGTGGTAACGGTCCTCCCACTCAGCGTGATGGTGTGGTGTGTTAGTGAGTGGTAACGGTCCTCCCACTCAGCGTGATGGTGTGGTGTTCTGCAGGAGCTGGTAGCCGAAACACTGGAGCAGCTATGGATCTCTTACAACCTTATAGAGAAGATGAAGGGCATTGGTCTCCTGAAGAAACTGAAGGTGAGGTCCTGCCACACACACACACACACACACACACACACACACACACACACACAGAAAAAAGACAAATGATGACTCTAAACACTATTTTACTCATTAATGTTTCAATTGTGATTTGCCATTTCGAGTTTTAATCTCGGTCTTAGTATAAAAGGTTGATTATGTGTGTGTGTGAGTGTGTGTGTGTGAGTGTGTGTGTGTGTGTGTGTGTGTGTGTGTGTGTGTGTGTGTGTGTGTGTGTGTGTGTGTGAAGATTAGAATACAAGTATTAAATCTGCAAATGTAGTACATTGCTTGTATACCTGTCTATGTACACACTGAATCAATGTGAACATGTAAGGCAATATATATATATATATATATATATATATATATATATATATATATATATATATATATATATATATATATATATATATATATATATATATATATACATAGTATATCTATTTGGCAGGTGCTGTATATGTCCAACAACATGGTGAAGGACTGGACAGAGTTTATGAAGCTGACAGAAGTGTCCACTTTAGAGGAGCTTAACTTTGTGGGTGAGTGTCTCCTCCTGCACTCCTCCGTCGTCCTCCTCATACACCCTCCGCCTCATACACCCTCCGCCTCATACACCCTCCGCCTCATGCACCCTCCTACTTATACATCCTTCTCATACACCCTCCACCTCCCACACCCTCCGCACCCTCCTACTTATACATCCTTCTCCCACCCTCCGCCTCATGCACCCTCTTGCTTATACATCCTTCTCATACACCTCCGCCTCATACACCTCCGCCTCATGCACCCTCTTGCTATACATCCTTCTCATACACCCTCCGCCTCATACACCCTCCGCCTCATGCACCCTCTTACTTATACATCCTTCTCATACACCCTCCGCCTCATACACCCTCCGCCTCATGCACCCTCCTACTTATACATCCTTCTTATACACCCTCCGCCTCATACACGCTCCGCCTCATACACCCTCCTCCTTATACACCACAGCCTACTTAGAATAAATAATTAAATAAATACGGCAATATAAATTTATTAATATACACAAATAGTTTCAATTTAAGGGGTTAGTTACGCGCGAGTGTGTATGTGTGTGCTTATGTGTGAGTGTATGTGTGTGTGTGTGTGTGTGTGTGTGTGTGTGTGTGTGTGTGTGTGTGTGTACAGCAGAGAAGCCCAAAGAAAAACCCCACAGAAATATCACACCACAAGAAACAAAACTGTAAGCTGAACACCCTCGCTATTCTCTCCGTACAACATAAAACAGAGGAGCTAATTCGTGTTCCTCTTCGTCAGGTAACCCGCTGGAGGAGAAGCACTCGGGGGACGGAACCTGGAGGACCGAGGTGGAGAGGAAGCTGACGTGGCTCAAGAAACTGGATGGTCTGCCCATAATCCGTGATGTTGATGACGAGCTGATACTCGAACAGCAACAACAACAACAGAGTAGGAAGTCCTCCATGGATCCTTCCTCCACCTCCTAGTTCTCCATGAACCTCCTCCTCCACCTCCTAGTTCTCCATGGACCTCCTCCTCCACCTCCTAGTTCTCCATGGACGTCCTCCTCCACCTCCTAGTTCTCCATGGACCTTCTCCTCCAACTCCAAGCTCTCCATGGACCTCCTCCTCCAGCAGAACTCTGTGGCTCTCCCATTATCTGTTCCTCCAGCAGAACTCCCTGGCTCCACCATTCTCTGTTCCTCCAGCAGAACTCCCTGGATCCACCATTCTCTGTTCCTCCAGCAGAATTCCCTGGCTCCACCATTCTCTGTTCCTCCAGCAGAACTCCCTGGCTCCACATTCTCTGTTCCTCCAGCAGAACTCCCTGGATCCACCATTCTCTGTTCCTCCAGCAGAACTCCCTGGCTCCACCATTCTCTGTTCCTCCAGTAGAACTCCCTGGATCCACCATTCTCTGTTCCTCCAGAAGAACTCCCTGGCTCCACCATTCTCTGTTCTTCCAGCAGAACTCCCTGGCTCCACCATTCTCTGTTCTTCCAGCAGAATTCCCTGGATCCACCATTCTCTGTTCCTCCAGCAGAACTCCCTGGATCCACCATTCTCTGTTCCTCCAGCAGAACTCCCTGGCTCCACCATTCTCTGTTCCTCCAGTAGAACTCCCTGGATCCACCATTCTCTGTTCCTCCAGCAGAACTCCCTGGCTCCACCATTCTCTGTTCCTCCAGAAGAACTCCCTGGCTCCACCATTCTCTGTTCCTCCAGAAGAACTTAGAGAAGAGTCACATGTCATATTTTTTTTCTTACCTTAGAATTATGTGCCTACAATCTCCTAGAATTATAATATGACTTCTTAACATGTTCTTTTAATGCCCCCGTACAGCCAGCAGCAAGAGCAGCCATGACAACATTCTGCCAAAACTTAGCGCAAATACCAGAGTCCTCCCGTGCCTGTCTTTGGCTCAATCAGGTTACCTTGCAATTGACTGATTCAGGAAGCCTCACCTTAGTTGGCTGGTTCAGGAAGCCTCACCATAGTTGACTGGTCCAAGAAGCCTCGCCTTAGTTGTCTGCTTCAGGAAGCCTGGTCTTAGTTGACTGGTCAGCATGAGGGGTGGCGTGAACGGTACCAGGCAGGAGTGAACTAAAGTATTCAGAGGTTAAAGTCAGCGTAGTGAACTGAATATTAATTTATCGTATTAGTGCACTGTCATAATCATTATTATTACTTTGTTGATGTTAGTGTCATGATGTATCAGTACTCAACACGGCCTCTCAGCCACGACATACTTCAACAGTATAATTTTCATACCTGTTAACCATCTGGCGCATTATCTCTACCACTGTAAGACTAGTGCAGATTTTTAGCAAAGAAATATGTTTAAGAAATCAATTTTATTTACAAATATAAAAACATAAAACACTGAGTCATTATAAAAATATTAGTTTAGACGGATGTTTTACAGAAACAAATTTTCTTCTAAAGAAATTAGTTGACCACAACATACTGTACATTTTCCCCTCAATTGACAATATATTATACTGAGTTCACAACTATCAGGTTCAATAGTAATGGTGAAAGGAATGTTATTGAGGGAAGAGATATAACTTCAGATACACTAATACAGTACTCAAAACAATTAAAATATCTGTATTAGAAAAGTCTTTATGATAATACTGTACCTATGTTGATGTAATGACAGCGAGTGTAGTGAAACAGCTGTAGACTTTGGTGTAATTTTATGCACACAACACTACACACTGTGATACAGTTACGTTATTACAGTATATGTTAAAAATTCCCTCCCTCTGCCTTTGTATCACATTGTGTAGAGTTATGTGCATAAAATTACACGAAAATCTACGGTTGTTCACTCCAACTTCACTATCATTACCCCCAACATCTTGCAAGTGCTGTAGTTAGCAAACTATGCGGATTCCGACAAATAGTCCAAGGAATACACCCTGCAGTTTACTGTACGCATTTGAGTCACCCAGTATATAGCCTCAAAAAATGTTGCCTTAAGAGTTACTAATACTGTACTATAAAGTGTTTAGGTGGAGTGCTCATGACCAGTTGAGCCTAGAATTCAAACTACAACAGTAAGAACTAACACAAGAACTCTGGTTCTCTCAGATAAGCCTGGGAGGAGGTATTATGCTCCAGCTCTCATATCACCGAGAGATTACCCACATATAACCACTGGCTGAGGACAACTTCAGAGTGATGCAGAGCCGGGTCCAGTTTTTATAGATTCCTACCTTGGCATCTACCCCGAAGTGACAATGTAAGGACACCTCTAACTGGCTTTAAAGCGGCTGCCAGAATGGCGTCGAAATTGGACTGGGACTGTGCTTCAAGCAATTACGTCATCACATCCACAGTTACGAGAAAAATTTAAGGTACAAATCTTTGAGAACCCAAGTGATAGCCTGCATTCACCCAGCTATTTTTTACCCGGCCTACTTATCCGACCCGTAACCTCGGAACGGATTGAAGCCTTTAAAATCAAAGCCATTGAAGCCACTGTAGCCCTTGAAGCCTCCGAATCCGTACATCATGGGCGTGGGACGATAAATGGGCGCGGTTGGTGGGGAGTGGTAGGTGGACGCAGGTTTGTAGGTGGGTCTGGGCCTTGAAGGGTCGTAGGAAGGGGTGGGGGCAGCACACTTGGTGACCTGCATCTTCTGCACCTGAGTCTCCGTGATGGTCACCGAACGTTCATCTACCTGTATCTGAGTCTGTGTCACCACCTGTGTCTCGTACACAGTCTCGGAGGCCGTCGTCACCACCTGGGGGAAAAGGAAGTAAAGGTAATTATCCCAAACAATAATTAAACAATCGTTTTCACAAATTGTTAGCGAGGGTATTGAGCGCAACTAAGATGATTTGATAAACTCCTCTTAAACCGTACGTACTTGAGTTCGAAGAATAATTTACACACCAGCCGGGTCCGACAGTACGAAGCTGTGTTCAAAACAATCCACCACTATATCATAACGTTCACTCACACCAAGGGCCAGAAGATAGGGTTCCCTTATGACTGTGTATAGATAGATCTGTTTGTTGTATATGGTGATAAAAAAACGAACTATGAATAGGTAATATCCTATAACAAGTGGTGGCTGACACAACACAACAGTAACAGTGTCAACTCAACACTCACTACGCGCTAATATTCTTATATTCTTATTTTTCTTGAGCATGTGAGTGGGGGTTTACTCGTCCTCTCAGTTTACACGAGATATAAAAATAACAGTATATTTACTTACCTGCTCGGTCTCAGTAGCTACGTTAACTTTCGTCTCAGTAACGTACTGAGTTTCAGCCTCTGTCTGCGTTTCCGTGACGTACTCCGTCTGCGTCTGTGCCACCTCCTCCACGATAGTAATATAGGTCGTCTCCACCTTAGTGTTGACCTCTGTCACGGTATCGTAGACGGTGACGGTCGGGGCATAGCAGGTAGCCGGGGGCGCCCCGTAGAGGGCTGGCTGCCGGTTGTCGCAGACAGCCACTGGCACCACCAAACACATCACCACACACAACCTAGACATTACCATCTGCAACCACCGATGTACTTAAGTAAGTGTAAGAGATCTTAATTCTTAGAGACCTATACATAGAGAAGAGATCCAGGACATTCTCACAATAAGAAATAAGATGTATCGACTAAGAATCAATTTAGGTAAAGAGTGAGGCTTCAGGAGTTAGTTGTTTACTTGGGTGTGAAGACCGCGAGATAACAAGCGAGTGATTGAGATACTAATGATAGGGTCAGGCATCAAGGGTTATTTGTTAGTCAAGAGCTTGACTTCAACCACCAAACAAAACGAGATACAATTTTAGGGATAGAAGCATACAAATTATATAAGAGTAAACGATAAAGTCGTCTTGAAAGATGTAAGAATCTCTCCATCTCTCTTTCTCTACTTGTGACACCAACAGGAAATCAAGACAAAAATTCATGAATATCAAAACAAGAAAACAAAATGCCTTTATCTAGTAACTCAACATGAAAGCTGTAAGTGAACGTCTCTCTCTCTTCACAACAGTCATGATACCGAACGGAAGAAATATTTAGAAGAATGAATATGACAAGGAAACTAAACCAGGTAATGAAGCTGCGACTGTGAGCCTCAGTAGCAAGTGAAAGTAAGAGGTGAGTGTTGTGTGTGGCAGACAGCACTATCACCCGTGTGTAGGAAGGTCATGAGGTGAAGCCTGCCACCTTACATGCTTCCACGACCGCATCTAGTAGACCACCACCCAGTCACCTATGTCTATATATCAGCATATATACACCCACATCCATATCTGGTAGCACCTACACGCCCACATCCACATCTATCAAGCATCTACACGCCCACATGCACATCTAACAAGCATCTACACGCCCACTGCCACATCTATCAAGCACCTACACGCCCTCATGCACATCTAACAAGCATCTACACGCCCACATGCACATCTAACAAGCATCTACACGCCCTCATGCACATCTAACAAGCACCTACACGCCCACTGCCACATCTATCAAGCACCTACACGCCCTCATGCACATCTAACAAGCACCTACACGCCCACTGCCACATCTATCAAGCACCTACACGCCCACTGCCACATCTAACAAGCACCTACACGCCCACATGCACATCTAACAAGCATCTACACGCCCTCATGCACATCTAACAAGCACCTACACGCCCACTGCCACATCTATCAAGCACCTACACGCCCACTGCCACATCTAACAAGCACCTACACGCCCACATGCACATCTAACAAGCATCTACACGCCCTCATGCACATCTAACAAGCACCTACACGCCCACTGCCACATCTATCAAGCACCTACACGCCCTCATGCACATCTAACAAGCACCTACACGCCCACTGCCACATCTATCAAGCATCTACACGCCCTCATGCACATCGAACAAGCACCTACACGCCCACTGCCACATCTATCAAGCACCTACACGCCCTCATGCACATCTAACAAGCATCTACACGCCCACTGCCACATCTATCAAGCATCTACACGCCCTCATGCACATCTAACAAGCACCTACACGCCCACTGCCACATCTAACAAGCATCTACACGCCCTCATGCACATCGAACAAGCACCTACACGCTCACTGCCACATCTATCAAGCATCTACACGCCCTCATGCACATCTAACAAGCACCTACACGCCCACTGCCACATCTATCAAGCACCTACACGCCCTCATGCACATCTAACAAGCACCTACACGCCCACTGCCACATCTATCAAGCATCTACACGCCTCATGCACATCTATCAAGCATCTACACGCCCTCATGCACATCTAACAAGCACCTACACGCCCACTGCCACATCTATCACACCTACACGCCCACTGCCACATCTATCAAGCATCTACACGCCCTCATGCACATCTAACACGCACCTACACGCCCACTGCCACATCTATCAAGCACCTACACGCCCTCATGCACATCTAACAAGCACCTACACGCCCACTGCCACATCTATCAAGCACCTACACGCCCTCATGCACATCGAACAAGCACCTACACGCCCACTGCCACATCTATCAAGAGTTAATCTAAAATGTCACCAGTACACGACCTCAGCCATGTAGCCAACGCTGATGTATACCTGCACACCTGTAATTTAGCACTGTTCTACATCAACACACCAACTCTGTCTGCCCCAGGCCCACCCCTACACCGTTACCTGGTGCCCAGTTCTAGTAAGATACAGGTTAAGTGACTTCAATTTAAGTTAGAAAGTGTTCCAGGAATGAAAGATAGTTGAGTCGCTGATGTTATTACCACCCAGATGATTAGTGTGTTGATATGCAGGAGAAATTTCTTGCTCTTTTTTTATTCGCTTTATACATGAACAAATGTATAATGCGAACGTAAAATGTTTGATTCGTGAAGGTTGATTATGAAAATATATGTTAAAGTTGGGTAACAGAAAACGAGACGCGGGCCGAGGTGGTGGGTGGTAGGTGGAGACACGAGTGAGTGAACTTAACGCGTGCTTACAGCACCCTTCATTCATCCTGCGCCCATCGCTATTAGTTACACACACACACACACACAGTGGACTAATATTACATAACCACACCAGGGGTTTACTGAACACAGTAAAAAATACAATGTATTTCCATCTTTTGTTAAATGTAAACAGAGATAACATTTTATACATTTAAGCAGAGCCGTCCCAAGGCGAGTCGGGGGGGAGATGAGGCGGCCACCCTGGCCCTCCCACTTCCAGGGGTTAGTAATTATACAGTTCAAATGCAACAAATAAACTAGTAAAAGAAGGCTGTACTGATTGGAAGCATCTTAGTGAAAGAGTAAAATCCTGAGTCATCAAATGAACACTTGTTCAACTTAACCAAATGGATGGAAGTGAAAAGAATGTAGTAGGCAGATATCAAACAGGGAGGTACTACCGCCTGGGAAGATATTGGAAGCATAATGTGTTGTCTAATGGTAGACCCTGCTGCCATAAGACATCACGAAAATTGTGACCAAGTCCCAGGTAGCTGATTTGACTTTCTGCCCCAATTACACACAATTGCAGGGTCAATTGTTTCTCTTACCATTGACAACACAACATACATTTATTGTTTCTCACTCTGGATCTTTTTTGTCATTTTTGTATTTCTTTATTATTATTATTATTATTACCCCCTCCAGGCCCCGATGTGGGTCAGTGACCTGTGGCTAGGTGGGCTATTCCCCGTAAAATAATAATAATAATAATAATAATAATAATAATAAAATAAATAAATAAATACCAATGATACACGTATGTTGCAAGACTTGAATAAAGAAAAGGAACAGTGGCGATCGGTTCTAACACACACACAATGCTTCTCTCAGTCAAGCCAGATGCCTATCTGACTGGAAGACTTCTTAAGTGTCACCAGTGCCCAAGTCAACCAGCCCACAATCCATAAATCAGCTACGACCCATTGCAATCACCCCAATACCCAGCTTAATCTGTGAAAGTTTTGTGTTCGACTGGGCTTATGCTGATATTGCAGGGGCCGCAGATCCTCAGCAATTTGGTAATATGAAAACTTCCTCCACCACTCACTGTCTTGTCAGCATTCTTGACTACATACAGTATACCGCCATCTGGAGAAACGAAAAACGTCTGTGGCTGTCGCCTTCATTGACTTCACTAAGGCATTCGACCTAGTCGACCACAATTTAATCACCAACAAAGCTATCGACCTCGGGTTTCGAAGAAGACTTATACCATGGCTTACAGACTTCCTCAGTAACCGACGCCAAGCTGTATGCTTCCGAGGGGCTGTCTCCACCTTTCAGTCACTCACCTGTGGCGTCTCCCGAGGGACCAAGATGGGACCACTATATGCTTCCTTTTGCTTATCAATGATGCTCTAAGAGAAACCCCTACTCGCTGGAAATATGTCGACGACTCCACCATTGGGATCAGCAGAAATAATTCTGCTCCCGACTATACCGCCCTTCAGGATTTATTGAACAGTCCAAAACTGGGCCACCAACAACCACGTCACCATCAACCATACCAAGACCATGGTTATGCATATCAACCTCTCCTCCGACGTTGTCCCACCCCCTTCCATTACTTTAGGCCCCAACACACTCCAGGTTGTAGATTCCACTAAGCTCCTCGGCGTCACCATAGACAACAAACTAAATTGGAAACCACACGTCAGTGAAGTTGTCAAACCCTCCAGTTTCCGTCTCCACCTCCTCCGCCGACTCAAGTCCCTCGGAGTTCCTGCACCCGAGCTCCTCAGTGTTTACTCAACATTCATACTTCCCAAACTCACCTATGCCTCCTCTACCTGGTCTTCCTCCTAAATGCCACACAACGTAAACACATAGAAAACGTGCAAAAAGAGGGCATGCAAGATTATTCTCTGCCCCTCCTACTCCACATATCAAGAAGTGCACAACACACTGACCCTCTCGGCTCTCACCGACCATCACCACGACCTCATCTGCAAATTTGGTGACAAGCTTCTGCACCATCCTCGACACCGGCTCCTACTACCACCTAAGATCCCTTGCCCGAGAATTGCTGTTCGACACTACAACTGCATCCAGCCCATACGAGCACGAACTGATCGCTATAAAAACAGCCCAGTCCCAACCACTGTAAAACTTATCAATAACTTGTAATCAACCAGTGCATTCACTCCCAATCAATCTTACTTTTTGCACTGTCACTATGTTGAAATGCCCTGTAGTTTGAGCTTCTCCCCACCTAGTTATTATATATCATATTTGTATCACTTATGTTACTTGCATATTATTTGTAAATCAAGAGACCCATTCCCCAATTATGCAACTGTATATTTTCAGCTTTCTGGCTGCCATGCTCTTTGAATAAACCGTTATATATATATATATATATATATATATATATATATATATATATATATATATATATATATATATATATATATATATATATATATATATATATATATATATATAATGTGTGTGTGTGTGTATGTGTGTGTGTTTGATCTGAGGTAAAATTATCCATATATTTTGTATTCATGTGGATAATTTTGCTCATATGAATACAAAATATAAAATTAAAGTTACAAATGATTTTATTCGATATATCTCTACTCTTATAATTTTTAACGCAATCAAATGGATTTTGAAACTCATCATGACAGGCAACAGTACAGTACAGTATGTTGTCAACAGTGTGAACGACTGAGGAGACTGTCCATCCATACTTAAACCGCCCCAGGAAACACCACCACTAACACCACCGTCGTCACCACCACCCTGGACCACTGTAGACGTATTGCCACACAAAGAGGATGGTATAGTGAAGGGAGGGGTCAGTATTACGAAATGGGGAGATGTATGGGAACAGAAGGGTGTGGTCCCTGGTGGATGAAGACGGGTAAGTCTTGTCATGGTAGAACGGGATGAACACAATACCTGTACTCACATGTGTGTTCATCCATGAGAGTATCAATAAGTGAGTTTAGCCACGCTGTTTGACTTATTGATGCTCTTTTGTTTATGGAAGATGACACCGAGAAAACTGTGGTGAGTGTTAAATAAAACACACACACACAGAGTGCAACACCACGCGCTGTCGCCACTCTTAAAATATAGTCTTTCGGGAGATAGATATGAATGAGACTAACACTGGGCGTACTTGAGAATGATGATAAATGGCTTCGTTTGCCCGGTGTAGTAGGGAGTGAGAGGTGCTGCTGCGACTTCCTGGCCGACATCTTTGCTTCCCGCCGATATTAAATTATCAACCTTCCAATTTGAGATTTAATTGCAACATGGTAAACAAGTTCTGACTGAATCATCTTGTGTGTTATGTGCATCTTCCTTTGTATTGAGAGGATACGATCAATTGTGGTTATCTTCCCTCGTTACTTGCTAAGAAAGAAAATAATATATCAGCGTAATTAGCTGAAGGTGTATGAAAACAAGAGTAATATTATCCTGGTCATAAGCAGCAGGACGGCAACACCAACATTATCGCCTTCACTAATACTGGAGTAGCAGCAGCAGGAGCTGTTACTCGAGGCAGCGACAACAGACACCGGCTGATCGGTGGGCGAGATGACGTGCACCGCCGCGTCAGCCGTTGCCTCCGCTCTCAACATTACTTTTACAAAACTCTCTTTACTGTCTACAAAACAAATAAATTATTGTACACATTGTCATACATTTACACGTTCATGTATTTTACGGCTAATAAAAACTTTCATTGACAAATGATAACACTTGTGTAATGTACTGCGTCAGCTGCTACGCTCCACTCACCACAAAACCACTTGTTCATAATCCATTTTTGTATCAAAGAATCCATGACTATGTTGTGTCAGAAGTATAGATATATTTCTATATAATAAAAAAGTTCCCTGACGTATCATTTTACTCCACTAAGCTTACCATCGTGCAAAGGAAGGAGTGATTGTGGTGGTCCAGCTGGCGGCCAGTTGAGGGGGGGTATAACTACTGTAAACGTCGAGGCCACCAGTTGTTGTCTCGGGAGAAAGTTGTGATGATAAATGTATCGTCACTTAATACAGCCGAGTTATTATGTCTGAGAAACAGATGAGAGAGAGAGAGACTCCTAGTTTTGCATTCACTACTACTGCTATTGAATATTTCTCGTGTACTATTTAGCTCTGCAGTACTTGGATCATTGTGAGAAGGTAAACCAGGCAAGTAAACTAGTACAACTTCCACGACGATCATACACATATCCAGTGTTTGTTAGATGAGCCGTCCCTGATGAGGCTCTTCAATAGTGTAATGCTCTCCAGCTTGGAGAACTGACATTCTGTTTGGGTTCCAAGATATTAAAGACTGATACTTGATTGAGAATGTCCAAAGGAAGACCAACAGACTTGTGCCTATGTTCTTTTTAATTTCTTTTCATTTCACTTATTAGCAAAAGTCTTACGCCAAAACTAGTTAACGAAAAACAAAATTTTCGTGTCAATAATAATAATAATAATAATAATAATAATAATAATAATAATAATAATAATAATAATAATAATAATAATAATAATAATAATAATAATAATAATAATAAAGGCGCCTGGGGTTGACCTTCAACCGGCACTGTCAGGGATCACTACTTGAAATGTCAAAACTGACGACAACAAAACATCATGAGAAAAAAAAAACAGCCTCACACTGCGTATTGTTAACCTCAACCCGACCAGGTCGTCAAGTCCAATGTGTTAACCTTCGAGAGACAATAACACAGTCGCTTTATTACTAAACTATTCTAATAAAAACAGATGAAGATCTGGATAAATAGGCCTAAAATCCTTGTCTAAATAGTAATAAACAACACAAGTCAAGGGTAAAAGAAAATAAGACATGATGTAAAGAGAATGAGAGAAGACGAAGATGAAATGAGAGATAACGTGTGAGCCACGTGGATAAAGGATTGACAGAGAGGATGAAAGACCAGAGAAAGACGACATATCACAACACACGTCACACATTTGTCTTAAGGAACGAGCCTGCTGCTGTCGTCACGACCTGCTGCTGCTGCACCAGGAAAGTCTTCTTTATGACTTAAATATTATTATAGTTTTCTGTCTTAATGATCAGATTTTGACTCAACTTGATTGTCACTGTGTCCTTAAGAGCTGGTCTCCTGTGTGAGTGATGTGTTGACTTATTGCTTACGAGAGTCGCTGCTTTGTGGTATTAGTTCTTTAGTCTCCTGTCTGTTGTGATTGTCACGTTATCATCATCAGTCAAGTCACTTATCCTCACTACAATAATCATCGTCTTGCTTAAGTCCTGAGAGTTTCTGAGTCATTCACGAGATAGTCACTCAGTTTTTTTTTATGTGTGTAACTCACAGTGTGTGTCACGACCGGCAACACCTACCTTGTTTATATCTCAGCTAGGTTCTTGAAACTTGTTTTCTGGACCTTATGAAACCCTTATATACGAGACTCGACCAAAAGGCGGGAATTGGTTATGGTTGAGGGGCGGAGCTAACTACTATCCCTTGAGGCGGGACCAACGAGAGAAGGAGGCTGGGTTTAAAGAAGGGGGAGGGGCATAGAATATCGGGATAGCAAGGTGAAGATTGTCTGAAACTTTCTTTTTTAGTTGAGATGGGAAACAGTCCCATACTAGGGTGGCGAGGCGTTGCTTTATAGCTGAGATAAAAATATTATAATGAACGAACTGGTGGCTCTCTGTGTGTGTGTGTGTGTGTTCAAACTAATTCATTGGAATTCTAAATTATTACGCAACACGTGAAGATTGGGTACCCAGCTTGTTTTACCTGGTGATTAAACACCCTAGCGCTAACCTAACATAACCTAACCTGACCCCTCCCCTGGTAACGTTAACCTGATTAAACACCAGGTGGAATAAGCTGGCTTACCTAATTTTCATGTGATTGCATACATAATCAAAACTGCATACCTTTAGTTACAGGGCTTCAGCCTCCGTGACCCATTTGTCAACTCGCCCTGGTCAGCCCCGTAGTGTTACGTCTCTTACACTGCAACACACACGGCGTACTGTCCACATAGGCGGTTAATGCGTGTGTTGCAAATCTCTCTCTCTCTCTCTCTCTCTCTCTCTCTCTCTCTCTCTTTCACTCACTTTCGATTCTGTGTCTATTGATGATAGGGCCAAGATTAATAAGAAATAATATAAATCATAGACACATATGCACATGCAGTTAATGTTAATAAGACATCAGACTTTTTCGGAGTGAGAATTGAAACTCTTGGAACAATCTGCCAGAGAGTGTTGTGACTGCACGAATGTGCATATGAGCTCTTTCGGGACCAGACTTGACCAACACTGGGGCAGACTCAGATACATTCAAGAGCCAGTGCATGCCTGGCTCCTGACAAATAGGTTAGCCATGCCGAGTACTTGCCAACAATGCGTAACAGAGACTTGACCGACCGCCCAAGCGGCTAACGAGGCACTGTAAGTATGTCTAGTTAATACAGAGAGGAATAAAATGGATCAACTCGGGACCATTATTAAAGACACCGGTAGATAGAGCACAACTGTTCAAACAATACACGACTGGACGGACCTAATACAGTACAGTACAAATGCTGAAGGGGGGACAGTAAGGATACAATTGCTGAAGGGGGGGGACGTAGTTCAAGGATGTACATAGATAAACACACAAGTTTCAAGCTGGTGAAAATAGTTGGACAAATTAGCACCATTGGGCTAATTTTCATCATAGAGGTCAGAAATATTATGCACTTGGTGTCTCAGTTATGAAACATGCGTGGTAGCAGGTAGAAACACTAAGCTTTGAACAGAAAGTGTTGATGATTTTGTTAATAAACTCCTTGAACACCCCGGGGGAACATATGGAGTAGCGGAGGGGAGTACAGTATTTACTGTACTGGAGGTATAACTCTGGAAGCGGAATTGTACACGATCATAAAAACACTGCTCACACAAGTACTGTACAGGGGTGGTTGCTGAGTCTACCTGAAGTGCGTAAACGAGCTTAACCAACAAAATAGACCCTTATTTAACATTAATATTCATAGTTTCAAGAAAAATGTCTTACTTTTGTAAGTTTTCGTTTAATACAGTATTATATTTTCATCGAGGAAACTTAGACTTACATACACAAGTAAGAAATGCTTCTTTTTGAATTAGTTTTCGCACTTGAGGATGACAGTAATCACCAGCACCAGCCTGACGCCACTGCAACACAATATGGAAGTTAGGCTGCACGAAGGCTTGTAATAATGCTCTTTTGTGCGTTATATCACGAAAAGGAACTAACAAGTAAGATCATTTGTTCCGGTAAGACTCAACACATGCTGAGTGAGCTTGGTGGTGCTAGGTAACGAGGGAATCAACAGACGGAAAGCGAAAAAACAAGATAAAGGAGATTAGAAAGGAAGGAAGGCG